TTTTTATAGAGCAATTCCTTGTACATTTACATTTTCTCCATTTCCACCATTGTCAAACTTTTCCCACTGCATCCTGTCCCAGCACACCATCTTACTGACCCATCTCTCACTTTCCTGTCCTTCCCCCGTTTTGAAAGTTGATACTTGAACATGAATCCACATGTGCCTTGTATATACTGGAAGTACTTCTGTCCCACCATTCTTAAGTTAGAAATTTTATTCCTTTTTTATTTTTATTTTTTTGGCCCCCTCAATTAACTTCAGATTGGGAGATTGGACTAAAAAGCCAAGAGTCAATTTACAAGAAGGTGGTTTTGGGGGAAGAACCATCTGGTGGTATGAATATGATAAAGCTCTCCAGAGAAGACTGGGGATGTAGTCACCTGGAGGAGAACCAGGAAGACCTCCAGAGGCGGTTGAGGCAAGTGGTATACATCCAATTAAAGGCATTTGCTCTACGGAAGGCTACTGCCTGGCATGAAATTGGGGAAAACTGTAATCTGAGCAGAGACCTTGTTTTATCACAGGGAGGTTCTGTAGGAAAACACTTCCATGACTGTGGCCTAGATATTGAGTGTTTGGTAGCGAATCCATACTTAAACCATCACCAGATGAGATACACAGACCACAGACTCTGTGAAAGTAATGAATGTGGGAAAGACCTCAGCCAAAATTGTCCCCTTAGGCAACACAAAAGAACTGAAACGTCCACATATGCAGAAAGTGGGAAATCATTTAGTCATGACATAACTTTTACAATACATAGCAAAACTAATGCGGTGAAGAAACCCTATGAATGTTTCCAGCATGGGAAAGTGTTTAACTGGAGGCATTCACTGAGTGAACACCAGGGAATTCATACAGGAGAGAGACCATATGAATGTCAGGAATGTGGGAGGACCTTTACACACCGCTCAACCCCCACTCGACATTTGAGAACTCATACTGGAGAGAAGCCCTATGTGTGCAGTGAATGTGGGAAAGCCTCCAACAGGATTTCATCTCTTACTCAGCATCAGAGGATTCACACAGGGGAAAAGCCCTATAAAGGCAAAGACTGTGGAAAATCCTTCTGCCAGAGTTCTTATCTGATCTTGCACAAGCGAACACATACTGGTGAGAAGCCCTATGAATGTAATGAATGTGGGAAGGCCTTCAGCGACTGACGGCTCATCACTTAACCAGCATGAGCGAACTCACACTGGCACAAACCCCTATGAATGCAATCAATGTGTAAGAGCCTTTAGCCAGAGGTCCTCCCTGCTAAGGCATGAGAGAACTCACACTGGAGAGAAACCCTATTGCTGTAACAAATGTGGAAAAGCATTCGGCCAGAGTTCTTCCCTTGTCACACACCAGAAACACACTAGTAAAAAAACAACTATAAAATCATTGACTGTGGGAAAGCTTTTTTTATAAGAGCAGCCACTTTATTGCATTTTAGAGCTTGCTTGCTGCCCTGTACAATACATTTTGTTAGCACTCTGCCAAATAAATACAGTTAGACATTGCCCTTCTGATGTCCTACTTGAAAAGAAGTAGGCTTATGCCACATTCTTTTAAAAAATATATATATTTATTGATTTCAGAGAGGAAAGGAGAGGGAGAAAGAGATAGAAACATCCATGATGAGAGAGAATCATTGATTGGCTGCCTCCTACACGCCCTACACTGGGGATCAAGCCCGCAACCTGGGTATGTGCCCTTGACCGGAATCAAACCGGGGACCCTTTAATCTGCAGACCAACACTCTATCCACTGAGCCAAACCAGCTAGGGTGCACATTCTTTTTTTCTTTTTTAAATAGCAATATAAAAATCATTTTATATACATTCAATCAATAACAATTAGGTGATATAAGAACAAGTTTGAGCAGCATCAATTTGTGAGCATACAGGCCTTGCTGACATCGTAGTTGGCGGCTTCTCATCTTTGAGATGAAGGCGAGTGTCAGAGACAGGGGTAGATGTCCATTTGTGGTCAGCTACCTGATAAGGTAAGGTCTCTTTAATGCTGTTGGAGAGAGACTTTTATTAATGTATTTCCCAATGGACAAAAATCTCAGGGTTGTCGTAGTCTTTGAATCTTTGTCTCCTGGGAGTACAGTGAAATGAATGTTACTAATTTGTTAGTTTCTACAATGCAGAATGTCTGCTTTTTAGTTTTCCTTATATTTGGGAAACAAAAGATTAAAAAATGAACAATATTTTAAACAGTCATAAGAATAATTATTCTCAATTATTTAGTCCCATAGTTACTTTTGTTTATCCTGATTATTTGCCAGTAGTTTTTTGAACTCAGTTATTCCTTGAAGCTCTAGAAAACTTCATCCAATTCAAAGATATGACCTCCTTAGAAGCCTACAAATTGGAGTAAGTCAGAGTCCTTTTCATGGATTTTTCTAAAGATATAATATACCTGCCGCTGGGGCTGTAGCAGGCGGAGAAGTTCCCGGTGCCCACACAACAATACCCCCACCATATTGATGGGAAGAGGACATCTAGGGTGCACATTCTTGAATGAAAGCCATGAGATCTAGATGGGTCTAGAGCAGTGGTTCTCAACCTTCCTAATGCCACCACCCTTTAATACAGTTCCTCATGTTGTGGTGACCCCCAATTTCATTGTTACAAATGGAACATAATTAAAGCATAGTGATTAATCACAAAAACAATATGTAATTATTTATGTGTTTTCTGATGGTCTTAGGCGACCCCTGTGAAAGGGTCGTTTGACCCCCCAAAGGGTCGCGACCCACAGGTTGAGAACCGCTGGTCTAGAGGGACCTTTTAATGAGGAAAATTGCCACTGAGCTATGCCCCAGGAGTTCCATCTTCTTGGAAAAGATCTATAAATGGGCATACTAACAGGGAATGGGATTTTAGTAAGAACTATCATATTCATTGAGTTGGTGAGTCAAAAGGTATTCTGTTTCAACTTTTTCTTTCAGTTGTCAATTTATTTATTTATTTGTTTTTTAATCCTCACCTAAGAATATATATATATATATACTATATCCCAGTGGTGAGGAAGCAGGGTGGCTTCGTGGGCATGTGACCTGTACAGTCACCCAAGACTCTGCTCTCAGAAAGGTCTTATATTCATCTCAGTATTATTAATAATTTTGAAGGGTCTCTCCTAAATTTTTATTTTGTAGTAAGCCCTACATGTTCTGTAGCCAGATCCGTGATGGAGTGAGGGGCAAGAACAGATGTTAAATAAGCAACCAAATACTTTAATTAAATAATTACAGATTTTGGTAGATTCTTTGGAGCACAAAAACAGGATACAGTGGTAATCTATATATATAAAAGACTAAGTGTCCATTCGTCTGACCGGTAGCTATGACACACACTGACCACCAGGGGGCAGACGCTCAATGCAGGAGCTGCCATGATGCACACTGGCCATTTAAAAATAAACGGCACTGCCCTGGCTG